GAAGACTGAAGAGCCTGGCCCAGGCTCTCTCCTTTAGCCTTGTGTCCTGCCTTCCTTCCCCGACCTTATGGGCCCGTCCTGTTTGCCCAGAATGTGCATTCCCACATCACCACCTGCCCAAACCACCCCAGCCGGTAGGCACTGTGTCAACTTGGCCAAAGGCCAAGGTCAAGTATTTCATGATGCCTTTGCCTAATGGAACTTTGTCGTCTAGGTGAAGACTCCTGCTGTGCACTGCTCTCTCTACGTTCCTACTATGTGCTTGGCCAGCTTTTGTGGACATGCCTCCAGAGACTCTCCAAACAGAACCATTGTGTCGCCTGCTGTGGAATAATGCTGCTGTACACTGTGAAGATGTGTTGCTGTCATTGTTCATAAAAAGCTGATTGGCCGACAGCTAGGCAGGATTTTGCAGTCAGAGAGAACGCTGGGAAGGAGGAGTCTTGAGCCAGACTCAGGAGAAGGAACACGGGAAGTTCGTAGATGAGGCAAACAAGCCTTGGGGCAGCACATAGATTAGTAGAAATGGGTTAATTTAAGTTGTAAGAGCTGGCTGGAGACAAGCCTAAGCTATCAGCCTAGCATTTATAATTAATAATAAATCTCTGGGTGGTTATTTGGGGAGCAGCTGGTGGGACAGAGATGATTGGCCATCTAGATGGAAAATTCTACCTCCAGTCTCCTGCAGCTCTACCTTGGGAAAATGCTTTCTGTGTTCTATAAAAATTTGCCTGCTTGTAACTTCCCGACTTTAGTGGGAGCCAGGGCAAGCCTGTTCCATCTGAATCTGAAAGGCCCTGAAGAAACTTGAACAGGGCTTATGCTACCTGTCAGTCTTCTCTCTTCCATGCAGAACATTTGCAGTTAACCAAACATTTCCCAGAAGGCAACTCTCAAGCCCTCTTCTGGCCATACCAGGAAAAACTCCTCCTTCAACTTCCTGAATTCTGGTACCTCAAAGTCAGTGCAATAAAGATGTTCCAGATAGGGTCTCTCTATGTAGCCCTGGCTAACCTGAAACTTGCTATGTAGACCAGGCTGGCTTTGAACTCAAGAGATCTGCCTTCCTTTTCCTCCTGAGTGCTGGGATTAAAGGCGTGCACCACTATGCCTGACTTCCAGAAAATCTTTTAATAAAAGGAAGATGGACTAGGGAGGCGGCTCAGTAAAGTGCTTGCTGAGGACATGGGTTTGAATCCTCAGCACCCATTTAAAAGTCAGGTGTAATGACTCTGTATCCCAGAGATAGGTAGGCCCTAGGAGCTCACTGGCAAGCCTGTCTAGAGGAAACAGTAAGCTGTAGATTTGTCTCAAAAAAAAAAAAAAAGAGAGAGAACAATGCTATGTATGCGCATGTATAGGGGCACACGCCTGCACATATGTGTACATATACATACATCACACAAATAAAAATAAATAAAACTATATCCTTTAAAAGATAAAAGACATGGCAGATATAAGCTGAAGCAGAAGCTTTGCAGCCATGTGAAAGCCTTGTACACACCAGGCCCTGGATTTGATCTTCAGCACCGAACAATGCCAGAAGGAAAAAAAAAAAAAAAAAAAAAAAAAAATATCTGTAGCTAGAGTTTTCCTGCCTGGCCCACAGTCAGGACAAATCTTTGTCACCCTCCAGTCTCACAGCCGCTCAGACCCAACCAAGTAAACA